GTATGTATGTATGTATGTCTGTCTGTCTGTCTGTCTGTCTGTCTGTCTGTCTGTCTGTCTGTCTGTCTGTCTGTCTGTCTGTCTGTCTGTCTGTCTGTCTGTCTGTCTGTCTGTCTGTCTGTCTGTCTGTCTGTCTGTCTGTCTGTCTGTCTGTCTGTCTGTCTGTCTGTCTGTCTGTCTGTCTGTCTGTCTGTCTGTCTGTCTGTCTGTCTGTCTGTCTGTCTGTCTGTCTGTCTGTCTGTCTGTCTGTCTGTCTGTCTGTCTGTCTGTCTGTCTGTCTGTCTGTCTGTCTGTCTGTCTGTCTGTCTGTCTGTCTGTCTGTCTGTCTGTCTGTCTGTCTGTATGTATGTATGTATGTATGTGTGTGTGTGTATATATGTATATGTACACACTAGACAACATAAAAATCGAAAGCTCGCCTCGCTATAGAAACAAGTGCACAAAGATAATGACCAACTAGACATCCTAAAAAAAGTGGGTACTTTTTGGCTTTTTCACCCTGTCTCGTAGGATGCGATTATTTGTAGGGAATTCTCTGGGGCAGTCCTATACAAGTAAGGTCTTGAAACCTCATTTATATCACCAATGAATGGCCGTCTCCACAGTAAGTAATGGCTGCAGTGGACCCCAAACAGTTCTGTTTTAGCCAGGCACATATACTGCCTCACGCTGCTGTTCGTCAGTCTCCTAAAGAGAGGCACGCACAGTGTGAGATCAATCAATCAAGAATGCAGTCAATCGGCGACCTCTGCAGAACATCGCCCTCATCACAGCTCTTCTGTCTTTGCCTCACTTTTCACAAGCCGCATCCTCCATCACCGTTCTCTCCAGACCTCCATGACATCTCTGAAATAGCTCAGCTGTAGGGACAGGATTCTGTTTACCAGCCAGTTCTTCTTGATGTTCAAATCATGCAGCATGCCGATGTTTTTCTTTTTCATGGCGTACTGTATTTTAAGAACCTTTTTTTTTGTGGCATTTCAGGTCAAAAGCTCTTATCTTCCCCTCTTTCCCTCCCCCGAAGGCCAATTGAGAGTTCATGACTTCAATCCTAAGTTGCCACTGGGCAAATAAATGATCTCATTTTTTATTTTTAAATTTCAACTTGCTTGCACACATCCCCAGTGGACACAAGCAAAAAAAAAAAAAAAAAAAAGCCAATATTTTGGCCTTGAAAGAGAAGAAGGATATTGGAACATGTGATCACAAGAAAAAACAAAATAATAACAAACACAAAGGAAGACAGCTCGAGGCGATTCTTAAAAGTTTGACGACGTGTAGGGGGGTCTACATACGACTTGATAATGCTGTTGAAGATAGCAGATTGTGGCAAGGCATGATTTCCCACGCCAGTAGGCAAGGCTCTTGATGATAATGAGTAAGATTTTAGAACGGTTGGACAAAACTTAGTAACGACTTGCTAGACTGATGGATGGAGAGCAAGGAAAATGCAAATAAACAAATATTTACATAACTTAGCAAAATAGATGAGGCGAAACAAGAACACTATCATGATAAGTGATTTTCGTGATTTGGTGAGATGTGACCGCCTACGTTTATGATGATCATTTCGGAATGACCACAGATTTGACCAGTAATGTATTCGGGTCAAAACATCCCTAAAACTGCTAAGAAATGTGTATTTTGTGATGATCACACCCCCAACCAATCATATCTTCAAGCTCGAAAAACCGTCTTGATACCACAACGCCCTCAAACACCGATATCTTCAAATATATCAAACAGTTTTTGATTTGACCACGTCTTTAGCCAATGATGTTTAAGAAGGTAGAACATCGACCAATGAAACCTTCAAGTGTACATATCAGTGGGGATATGGCCACACCCTCGACTAATGATACATTGAGTTGTGTACATTTTCTCTTGAGTGACACGTGCTTGCCCGATACACGATTGGTTTCCCACACTTTTTGCACAAAAATCTACAATACCACAAAACTGTGGTTGAAAGCTGTTCAGTGTAATTAAGACACGCGAAAGAAGCTGTTTGAAGTGAGTTACTAAAGTAGGGTAACTCGCTGTAGCGTAGCGGCTAGACGCTGGCGTGCGAATCGAAATTTCGTGGGTTCGCTACCTAGCGGAGCTGGGCTTTTTTTTCAAAAATTCCTTTGACTTCCAGGTAGACTCAGCCTTAAATAGGTACCGGGTGCAGTCCCGGGAAGTAAAGGCAGCCGGCGTGATGCTGACCACATCACCCACAAAGTGCCAAGTGGTCGATAAAAACATAGGTCCAGCCCTACATGCCCTAGACGCCTAAAGGCGTGAAACAAGGACCTTTACTTAAAAAAACACACACACTAATAAATAGGGGATCATGTAAAATGTGGATTATGTAAGCAGCAAAATAGGCAACAGAGGATTATGTGAATTATGCAGGAAGTTAATTAGGCAATAGCGGATTAGCAAACCAGTTAATTGAGTATGTTGTGGATTATGTGGGTAGTGAATTATGTAAGCAGTGGATTATGTAAGCAGCGAAGAGGTTATATTGGATTGGGTAAGTAGGGGATTAGGGAAGTAGTGGATTATGGATTTAGTGGGTTAAGCAACTAATAGATAAGCTAACAACGGACTAAGCACTAGTGAATTAAGTAATAGTCAGTTAAGTAAGTTGGGATTTGGTATATTGTGAAGTATTTAAGTGGTGGATTAAGTAATTAGTGTATTATGTAAGGAGTGAATTGGGTGACAGTGGATTAGCTTAAAGTAGATTTTGTTATAGTAGTCAATGTTAAAGTCCCCCGTGTGGTTTCCGGGGCACCATTGTGGGGATAACAAGAATAGACCCACTGCCTCCCCAAAAGCATGTCGTAAGAGTCGACTAATTGGGAAGCTTCCTTTGAAGTCGGAGTGCATCTGCCGGAGAGGCAAGGAACCAACAGTCTGTATTCAAGAGAATGAGATCTGTAAAACTGATGCACACGCAACACTCAGCTTCTGGAGCAGGACTGCAGTCCAGTAGTGGACGAGCAACCAGAACCTTCCGCCAGAGTTTACAGCTGGTGAATGCGAAGAAGAAGAATGTTGAAGTGGATAACGTTACAGTACTCAAGGTAAATGTGGATTTTGTTATAGTAGTCAAGGTAGAAGTGGATTTTTTTATAGTAGTCAAGGTAGAAGTGGATTGTGTTATAGTAGTTAAGGTAAAAGTGGATTATGTTATAGTACTCAAGGTAAACGTGGATTATGTTATAGTAGTCAAGGTAAAAGTGGATTATGTTATAGTACTCAAGGTAAAAGTGGATTATGTTATAGTAGTCAAGGTAAAAGTGGATTATGTTATAGTAGTTAAGGTAAAAGTGGATTATGTTATAGTAGTCAAGGTATGAGAAGAGGGAAAATAGAACATGTTGTGACCACTGGAACGATATGTGGAAGGAGAGATAGAGGAAGACAAAGAGAGAAGATGCTTGACAGTCTTGTTGCATGGCATGGAGGTGTGTCGGCACACGAACTGATACATGCTGCAGGAGATCGCAGATTATGGAGAGGCATGATTGCCCACGCCAGTCGGCAAGGCACTTGATGAGTCAAGGTAAACGTGGATTATGTTATAGTAGTCAAGGTAAAATTGGATTATGTTGAAGTCGATATGGCGGAGAAATGTGGAGACAGGCATGCTTCGTGCAGATTGGCAACCATCACTTCAGAAGTCCTAGGTAGCTAGCATACTTTGGATATTTTCTCCAGGTATGCTGGTGTTTTGGGAAATAAGCAGGCAGATAGACTGGGCGGTGTTGCACCACTTGGTGTTGACTTGACGTATGAAAAGCTAGATGATGGGAGGGCCCTATAGGAACGAGTAAACAGTGCGGAGGCACAAACAGATCATTACGGTCAGAGGAGAACGGCACTGCGGAAAGTTACCAGGGTATCTGACGGACGCTTAACCTCAAGGGAGAGGCGAGATTTATATAAAATCAAACAGTTACTGATACCATCGCAATCAGAACTCTTCGCTTGCTGCTGAAGATAGGGGTCGAGCTCTTATGGGAGTGTACAGAGTTCAGTGAAGTCGATTCTTTATTAAACATGCTTTTTCTCTCCCAGTCACAGCCAATTAGTAAGGCACTTGATGATGATGATGACGACAACTTACGACCATCACGAACCATTTATCTCACTATACTGTCCTGCAGAACTCATGCAGTGACATTTTAACAAACATCTCGAAAACTCCCGTAGTATCAATGCGACTTTTTGCGTGTGGTCTTTGATTACTCCCGTCCTTATATTTTAAAAATTACAATTGTACAGATGCTGCTATTTTCTTAAAGCGGCGAATTTCTTTGAACTTTATTTGACAAAAAATGTGCAACCCCCCACCTCCACAACCATCCTATTAAATATACAGTAACTGACAAACACGTGTAGAGACTGGAAATCAGTTCACAAGTACAGCAATGCGTGGTGATTATTTTGAATGCGGATTATTTTGAAAGCCTATCCCGCATACAATGAAACATCCAAAACTCACGGGAGTAAACTGCTGTAACTGGCAATCTGAGAATGAAACATTTATGAAACGCGTGCAATTTGATGTTTTAAACGGTACCAACTGCCTAGTTCACTGTAAGCATGTAGATGGTTTGCTTTGAATCGGTGTCTGTTATTTCATATAACGCAATAAAGAAAAGAAAAAATCTAGGTATTTGCTTATATAAAATAAAATGAGTCTTTCTTTCATTTCACCCCATCTCGGGTGCTCAGAGATTTCATATGAAATTCCTGAGAATGTCCAAGAAAGGAACGGAGGTTAGGGTTAGGGTAAATGTAAATCGGTATTCATTTCGCTTCCTAACACCCCTATACCGTTTGACGTTCCCGGGAATTCCCTACGAATTCTCTGACCCTCGAGATTTGTCGAAATAAAAAAGAAAAATAAATTGTTGCAAGGACTTGATTATTAATACGTTGTATGTCGGATTTCAAAAACTTACAACGAGCTGTTTTTGAGTTACAGATTTTCAAAGTTGGACATGACATTTGGAACAGACTATAGCTTTTTGCATACTATAATATCAACACTTGTTAGCTTCTGCATCATAACAGCCGTGACTGCGGCCCAGGCAAGATACTACTATTCCTTGTCCCAATCTTCACCTGTCTTCTCCGAGGCTCTTTATCGACAACTGGCCTGGAACCATCCCAGTCTCGTCTTCTCGCCTTACAGGTAATTCATATGTGTCGTAGAGTGCAAATATAAGAAGACGTCGCGGTGTAGAGGTTAGACGCTCGCCTGCGGATCGGAAGGTCGTGGGTTCGGGCCCTAAAGGAGCCAGACATTTTCCCCTTAAAACATGACCTTGGCTTCTGGGTGGACCTAACCTTGAGTAGGTAACAGGTACAGTCATGGGAAGTAAAGGCGGCCGGTGTGATGTTGACTACATCACCCACAAAGTGCCGATAAGGGTTTAGCCCTATATGGGAGGTGTCCGTGGCTTGGGTGTTGCGAGTCCGACTCGTAATTCCAGAGTACCGCGATCGAAACTCACTGCTGGCTACGTGGATTTTTATTATAGTATAAGTATCCCAGGTCGATATAGCCTAAAATGGGTACCAGGATGTATGTCATGGGGAAGTTAAGACGGCCGGCGTAATACTGACCACAATAACCACCTTGTGCCAATTGGTCTGTAAAAATATGGGTGTCTTGCCATATGCCCGATGCGCCTAAGGCATGAAAAAGGGATCTTTACTTTACTAGCCCTATATGCCTGATACACATGAAGACGCGGACAAGAGCCCTTATAGTAGGGACATGTAACCCCACCAGAGCGATAAACTCGGAGTGACACAAAATGCCACCATGCGGATGAGGATCACTCGTGGAGAGGTCCCCGAAACCGAGTTCAACCGTTAGGTTATATTGCGGCCACTAGCAATAGCCAGGGTGGGGCTTCAAAATAACGAAAAATTAAACCCCACAAGGGGATGACAAGAGTAAGCTTATCCTTATAGTGCAATGATGTACCTTATATTCAAGTTGGAGCTGTCAGTCATTGATTGACTGTTGATTGGCACTTTTGCGTCTTTCTAGACGGTGAGTGAGAGATCGAATGTCTGTTACAAGCTGAATCAAGGTAGAGTGGTTTGATTACTTCACTGAAAAAAATAGCAAACAAGCGAATAAAAACACTCGGACTAATAAAACAAACAACGAGGATATTCGTAAAAGGAAAATGCATAATACAGATAAGTGAGAGGAAAAAACATTGGCAGGATGAATTATTTCAAAACGAAACAAATTGAAAAGAATATCAAAGAAGGTATGAAATATATTGTCTCCTTCTCCCCTCTCTCTCTCTCTCTCTCTCTCTCTCTCTCTCTCTCTCTCTCTCTCTCTCTCTCTCTCTCTCTCTCTCTCTATATATATATATATATATATATATATATATATATATATATATATATAAAAATCTTCTTTTCTCTACTTCTGGAATACCTCACGGCGTGGGGGTAAGAATAGATATATAGAACGGGCCGTTCTGCACGTTTCGTATAAAATACTTTTGAGTGTCTCTGATATTTGTGTGGTGCATTTTTTGCGTGGTCGACCGCTGCATCTGTTACCTCTGTATCTGCATAATATTGCTCTCTGTGGTACCCTGTCTGATGCCAGTCTTGTTACATGGCCAAACCATTTGACCTGCTGTCTAGCTATAAAGTTCAGTATTGGTTCTGTGCCGACTCTCCTCCCGATATCATCGTCCCTAAGTCGATCTTTACTCGTTACACCTTGTGTGTGTGTGTGTGTGTGTGTGTGTTTGTGTGTGTGTGTGTGTGTATAAAACTATGACAAATACTACATAAATTAAAGAAATAAATATATTAATAAATATTAGATGCATTAACTCCCGCAGGTCTGAGAATGTTGAATCTTTGAATAAGACAAAGATGGACGGGTGGTTTGATCCCCGGAACAAGTAAATTCTAGTCGCAAACTGTAATGTGTTTAGATATTTCTTGATACAAGGTCGACTTCAGCCAAACTTTATGTGTTATCTTTGTCTTTTGCCAAACCTTTAGCGTTCAGGCAGCGCTTGGATTGCTGTTGGCAGCGGCCGGCAATGGAGTCGCATACGAAGAGATCAACAGAGTGGCATTTCTGAACCCGCCCGTCCCCGTAAATGTGGATTTCAAAACGCTCCTACTCCAGGTTGGTCAGATTGTGTGGTCACGCTGTGCATTCAAGTTGTGTAGTCACGTTGTGCATTCACGTTGCGTAGTGTCGTTGTTTAGTCACGTTGAGTTAAGCTGAGTTGAGTTAAGAACTGACATCACAGCATTCGGGGCATTCTCATACGTGCTCCATTCCCATCGTCAGCAGCCAGTGCAGAGTTCCAATATTAATGGTGCAAGTCGTTGGCTGATTTTATGTTCCGTCTTGCTTTACCTCTGAGCGTAGTGTGCCGACAGAACCCTTTGGTCACATCCAGTCGCTCCATTTTCTCTCCAGCCCATAATCTAGTTTATCTTCTGACTTCGTTACTTGTTCCAAAAAGGGCTCTGACCATATCTGCCTTGTCATGCATCAGTTCACCACCCAGCGGTGCAGATCCAGCCAGTCTGTCTGTCAGTTCTTTCCCCACCACGCCGGCATACCTAGAGAAAAGACCCAAAGTATGCTCATTATCCATGACCTAGCAAGTGAAGTTTGCTACTCTGCTCGAAGCAATCCTGTTTTTACCTTTTTCAGCATGCTGTAAGAGTCCGTTACAATTATAACATGTGTATGTATCTAGTTCTCTTGCCCCCAGCAAGCTGCAGTGACCGCCTCCACCTCCGTTCTCATGCTAGATATCAGGCTGTCCTGCCCTAAAGATTTTCTATTAGCTTTCGCTACAAAACTCCAGGCTCTTCTCTTCCCCCTCAGTACAGGTTAGTCATTTTTAGTGCTTCTTGCCTTCCTCAATAATTTTGTAAGGTGGACAAAATGTCCCCTTTAACTATGTTTGGAAATTATCATTTCATAGTATTTCAAGTGTATTGTGGAGCTAGCGAAAAGCGAAAAAGAGAAAAGGAGGGGGGCGAGAAAAGAAATGTGGTTGGGACTATAAGTAGTTACCAGCTGAACTGCAAAATTAGAATATGTAGGAAAAGACATGAGTTCTTTTTTACAGAAACCATGAAATATTACCCACTGCCCAGGTGGTGAATTTGTGAATAATGAGTTAAACAATAACAGTGTAAAACCACATAGGCAGCATCTAGCCAGACAACGTGCATGAACTACAAGTCATATTCTGAAGCAAATAGAATATAATAATCAAATTCCACATTTATTTATTCTTCTTAAAACAAAACTAACTTACTTTGCAGTTAACAATACATTACCAATTACCAACGTTTTCGAACAGACCATGTGCTAATCACTTTAGCTTACAAAGATGAAAGTTCGCTCCCACTTCAAGGTTACCTGCTGTCAGAATCTCAGCGCCAGGATGCAAAATAGAAATCTTAATCTGAAAATGAGTATTGAACGTACTGCCCAAAACACGTTACCAGTGAGCCAGTTCATTTCTCGACTTAGTCCCCATGAACCTAAGTTGAACTAGAACCCTGTGTCGTTCCGTCATTGATAGGTAGGTCTAGATGTTTCTAATATCACTGCCGCAGACCAAATTGAAAGTCCGTTCTTGCGCTGGACCTTATTTCCAATTTTCTACTCGCTGGGCACTTCCGGAGAGTTCTGATTTGTAAACCTGCCAGTTTGAGAGCGTAAAGGTAGTCATACCATTTTTAAGAGGCTAATAAAATTCTCTACCAGCCTATTACAAACTTAAAAAAACAATTTCATCTTTCATTTTCATTTAGTGGAGTAATCTAACGGAGGTTCAACTCTACAGCGCCAACGGTATCTTCGTGAATCCAAACTTTCCTATAGAACGTGGGTTCGTGGAGGCCGTTTTGTTTTATTATTTCGCCCAAAGCACAAACTTTGACTTCTCCTATCCTGGAGGACCTGAGAAGCCAATCAACGATTTTGTTGAGCGACAAACGAACCACTTAATTAAAGACCTCCTGCCAGCGCGTATGTATTTCAGAGGGTTGAGTGTTTGAACAAACATTTAAAGTGTGTCAGACATTATACTAACCATGTTATTCTCTTTGTGATTTATTCATTCATTCATTCAGTAGCATGTCCCTCGCGGAACCTCGTTGCCATAACAACCCTCCGGAAAACCTTCCTATCCTGAGCAAGATGTCCTGCGTCTGATACACCCATCTGGATATCATCTGCCACATCCTGCACCCATCTTCTCCTTGGCCTTCCTCTTCCTCTCTTCCCAGGCATATACCCCTCCATTATTGTTCTCTCCAGACTACCATGACGTTTCAAGTAACCAAAATATTTCAATGTTCTTTGTTTTATTGTCTTTACTAGCCAACCCTCTTCAATATTCAGCTCTTGAAGTATGGATGCATTTGTTCTTTTCTTTACCCAAGATATTCTTAGAACCTGTCTGTAACATTTATATTCAAATGCATTTATGCGCTGTTCCGCTTGTTTAGTAAGTGTCCAGGTCTCACAGGCGTATGTTGCAATGGGAAAGATGCATGCTCTTAAAAATCTGACCTTTGTAATTCTATCTGTACAATTCCATAATTTATTCAGTTGTTTTAGTCTTTGAAGAGCAATTGATAGTCGCCGTTTAATTTCTTTCATTGTGTCACCATTGTTGGTAACCAGTGACCCAAGATATTCGAAATTTTCCACCACTTCCAATCTTTCCTCATTAACATATATTTCCTTCTCCATGGCAGTTTTGTTTGTATGCATTATCTTTGTTTTTGCTATGTTAAGAAATAAGTTATGATTTTCACTATTTCTTTGGAGTGAGGTTAATAAGTTTTCTAAACCATTTTGTGATGTTGATAGTAAAACTGTATCATCAGCATAACGTATTTCTTGTATTTCATGACCACCGATGTTTAGGGCATCATATTGTTCCTTGTTTATATCATCTCTTACATTTCTCATTATATTTTCGGCGTACAGGTTGAACAAATACGGTGACAGCACACATCCCTGACGGACTCCTTGCTTGATGCCAAACCAGTCTGATGTCTCTCCATCTATTCTGACTGCTGCTTGTTGGTCTTGATAGAGCATTTTAATGAGCTGCACTATATGTGATGAAAAGCCCATATTCCTCATGATTTCCCAAAGCTTCTGATGTTGTACACAGTCAAATGCTTTTGAATAATCCACAAAACATAAGAACAGATTTACATTAAATTCTCTACACTTCTCTATTATTAAACGCATGTTGAATATATGATCTATTGTTCCTCTTCCCTGTCTAAATCCAGCCTGAGCTACATTAATCTCTTCTTCCATTTTCTTATGCAGTCTTCTCATTATAATTTTTAGTAGAATTTTACTTGCATGACTGATCAGGGCAATAGTTCGATAGTTTGTACATAATTTCAGGTCACCCTTTTTTGGTATTGGAATGAAGATAGTTCTCTTCCAGTCTTTTGGCCAAATACCATATTTCCATATCTTTTCACATAATGCATGATAGATTTTTATGTGATTTTATGTGATTTATTAAAGATGTTAAAAGTGTTAAAAATGTGACATTACAGAAAGAGAGATAGGAGACAGAGAGAGAGAGAAAGAAGACAGAGAGAGAGAGAGATAAAAGAAAAGGGAGATAAGAGACGAGACAGAGAGAGAAAAGAGAAAGAGGCAGAGAGATAGGGGACAGAGAGAGATAGGAAACAGAGAGATAAAGATAGGAGACAGACAGGTATAGGAGACAGAGAGAAACAGGAGACAGAGAGATATAGGGGACAGAGAGAGATAGGGGACAGAGAGGTATAGGGGACAGAGAGATATAGGGGACAGAGAGATAGGGGACAGAGAGAGATAGGAAACAGAGAGATATAGGGGACAGAGAAAGATAGAAAACAGAGAGATATATAGGACAAATAGAGAGAGATAGGAAACAGAGCGATAGAGATAGGAGACAGAGGGATATAGGAGATAGAGATAGGAGACAGAGAGAGATAGGGGACAGAGAGAGAGGAGACAGAGAGAGAAAGAAGACAGAGAGAGATGAGAGACATAGTGAGATAGGAGAGGAGACAGAGAGAGATGGGGGACAGAGAGAGATATGAGACAGAGAGAGAGACAGTAGACAAAGATAGGGGACAGAGAGATATAGGGGACAGAGAGAGATAGGGGGCAGAGCGGGATAGGAGAATAAGAGAGAGATAGGAGACGAGAGATAGGAGACAGAGAGATGGGGATAGAGTGACGTAGGAAACAAAGAGAGAGAGATAGGAGACAGAGAGAGAGAAAGAAGACATGGAGAAATGGGAGACAGAGTGATATAGAAGACGAGATAGAGAGAGAGATAGGGGACAGAACGAGATAGAGAGAGATAGGAGACATAGATAGATAAGTGTGACAGAGAGAGAGATAGGAGACAGAGAGAGATGGGGGACAGAGAGAGATAGGAGACAGAGAGAGAAAGAAGACAGAGAGAGATGAGAGACATAGTGAGATAGGAGAAGAGACAGAGAAAGAGACAGGAGATAGAGAAAGAGATAGAAGACAAAGAGATGGCAGATAGTAAAATAGCAGACGAGACAGAGAGATAGGGAACAGAGAGAGATAATAGACAGAGAGAGATAATAGACAGAGAGAGATAGATAGCTAGATAAAGCGATTAAAAGAGAGAGAATGAAAGAGAAAGAGAGAGAGAAATAAAGAGAAACATAGAGAGGTAGAGAGACGTAGAGAGCGATAGAGAGACAGAGATAGAGAAAGATGGACGGAGAGAGAATGTACACAGTCTAAAACTCTTGTCACCAACACTCTGCAGATACCATCACCGGTTCGACAGCAGTTATTCTGGTCAACACTGTCTTCTTCAACGGAACATGGGAGCGGACATTTGACCATAGGTCAACAAACAAGGGAGACTTTTATACCTTGGACAAGGGAACCGTTCAGGTTTTGTTGATGGCCTTGTTGATGTCATTGTTGATGCTCTTGATGTTGTTTTTGATGTTGTCATCAGTGTTCTTGCTGATATCAGCAATATTCTTGCCGATGTATTGTTCATGGCCTTGTTGATGTTCTTGTTGATGTTCTTGTTCATATCCTTGATGATGTCCTTGTTGATGTTCTTGTTCATGTCCTTGATGATGTCCTTGTTGATGTTCTTGTTCATATCCTTGGTGATGTCCTTGTTGATGTTCTTGTTCATGTCCTTGGTGATGTCCTTGTTGATGTTCTTGTTCATGGCCTTGTTGATGTTCTTGCCGATGTCTTGTTCATGTCCTTGGTGATGTCCTTGTTGATGCTCTTGATGTTTTTCTTGATGTTGTCATCAGTGTTGTTTCTGATTTCGGCAAAATTCAACTTGATGTTGTCTCTGTTCGCAGTTTTAAAATTGATTGAAGTGATATTCTTGGTGATCTTGAATAACCAAGAAGATGATGATGAAAACAAAAAGGGAACAGGAAAAGGAGAAGAGGAGAATGTAGAGGAGGAGGAGGAGAAGACGAAGGAACAAGAAGGAGAACAATAAGTAGGAAAGGAAGTGAAAGAAGAATAAAATAAAGAAGAAGAAGAAGAAGAAGAAGAAGAAGAAGAAGAAGAAGAAGAAGAAGAAGAAGAAGAAGAAGAAGAAGAAGAAGAAGAAGAAGAAGAAGAAGAAGAAGAGGAAGAAGAAGAAGAAAAAGAAGAAGAAGAAGAAGAAGAAGAAGAAGAAGAAAAAGAAGAAGAAGAAGAAGAAGAAGAAGAAGAAGAAGAAGAAGGAAGAAGAAGATTGCAAGAAAAAGAAGAAGGTGAACGAAATTTTTTTTTTTCAAAAAGGTCACAAATTGTTCTGGCACGCCCGTCTCACAATCCGCCCTTTGAACTTATCTTTCACCCTTCTTCACAGAAAAACAAGAAGATGAAGAGTTAAGAACCGACATCATAGCACTCAAGACATTTCCATAAGCGCTTCGTTCTCATCTTCAGCTGCAAACAAGGAGTTACTGTTCTGTCTCACTGTAATTGAGCGTCGGCCAGTTCCCCTGGTCACTCCTCGCAAAACCAGATTCTTTAGAATGTGATGATATTTGTGTGCCTTTAAAACTGTTCGCTCGCTCCAAAATAGCACAATATCTAGCTTCTTCTTCTTCTTCTTCTTCTGCCTTTCTATCCCCCAATGGAGCATAGGCCCTCAACCAACTCACACCAAGTCGTTATATCCTTCGCCATTGCATGGAGCTCTCCCCTTGTCCTGCCAATCTTTCTAACCTCATTCTCCAGCTCTCTTCTCCATGTGTTTTTTGGCCTTCGTTTATTTCTATGCCCTGTGGGTTCCAATGCAGGGACATTCTAGTTATGCTGTTCTCCTGTTTTCTCAGTGTGTGCCCTATCCAACGCCAGCGTCTTTTCCTCACCTCCTGATCCACTGGAGCCTGTTTAGTTCTCTCCCAAAGTTCTACATTAGTTATTCTATCATACCATTTTATTCCCTCTATTCTGCACAGGCACCAGTTAATGAATGTCTGTAATTTATTAGTAATTGTCTTAGTTGTTCTCCATGTTTCCGCCCCATACAATAGTACTGATTTACATTAGAAAACCAGATTCTTTAGAATGTGATGATATTTATGTGCCTTTAGAACTGTTCGCTCGCTCCAAAATGGCACAATATCTTGCAAAATTTTACCACCAAGTGGAGCAGAACTGCTCTATATGCCTAATTATTTTCCTACACATTGGAGGAAATATCCAAAGACGCTAAATAGCTTATACCTCTGAAGCGATGCTTGCCACTCTGCTCAGAACATACCTGTTTCCGTCGTTCTGAACAAGCTCTGTGAGACAGTGACAATCACACATGTGAACAGCTGGTGCTGAAGCCAGCGGAAGACTGCTGTTACCTTCCCAATCTCTATTCTTAAACTAGTTGTTATCGTAGCATATGTCGGGGGTTTGTAGCACTAAGCGACGTCCATTCACTTTTCCATGAGCCCAAACGCACTCGGTCAGTAATGAACATGCTTGGGAGAGAAGCAGACCGTTTATGGATATGTTCAACATACAGTAAAGATGATTCTTTTAAAACAATGAATAATGTTGCAGTTTGTAAGTGACGAATTTTTGAACAAATCTCTTGCAGGTTGATATGATGAGAAGCAGTCGAAAAATAAATATACGAAGAAATGTATTTGGAGCAGACGTCATTGAACTCACGTACCACGGAAACTTCGCACTCTACATCGCTTTACCGCAAGCTGTCAATGGAATCATCCAACTTGGTATACATCACATGTTTTTATCCTTTATACTACTTAAGAAGTTAAACGGTGTATCTGAAATGTGTCCTGTCGATCTAGCAGACCAAGATTTCTCTAATCCAATAGTCTCTGACCTTTTTCGGGTGGCGCCCCCCTGAGTATATGGCAAGGTCCGCGTTCCCTCTCCCTAACATAGAAAATATTGCTGTTTATTTAACACACACATCAAAACAAACAGCTTTGATGCTTTCTTAGATGCAGTGGTCTGACAATATTGTTCTGTTTCCTACAAACTATCTTGTCTCTCCTATTCATCATCAATATCATGTGCCCTGCCAACTGGCTTAGACGCTCATGCGATCCACAGATCACGATCCATGGTTGCATGGAACAGCTCTCTTGATGATATCCCTCCATGCCATCGTTTCATCTCATTCAGCATTAGTTCTCTTGGTCTGCCTCTACCCCCTTTTCCACTGATCTTTCCAGTTGTCACGATGTTTTCCAATGTCTCTCTTCTCATTATGTGGCCAAAGAACAGTGTTTGTCTCTTTCTTATTGTTGTATATCATTAGCCTCTTTCAAGCAATCGTTGTTAGTTACTCTGGCCGTCCAAGGTATTCGTAACATTCGTCTCAGAAACCACATCTCTGTTGCTTCCAAATTCTTCCTAATTTTTTCAGTGACATTCCAAGATTCCATGCCATACAGCAGAACAGGTTCTATGTAACATTTTAGCACCTCTTTCTGGCATTAAATGAGTGCGATTTATTGGATAAGATATTTTTCATTTTCTGAAATGCAGCTTTCGCTTGACCTGTATGGCTTTTAATATCTGTCACACAATTTTCGTATAATAAAATGATTGTTCCCAGATATTTAAATTTATTGACTTGGTTAAATCTGTTTACTTTAATTGAGCTGTCACAACGTGGAGTTATCTTCTTCTTTGATATAACCATTACTTCCGTTTTCTTAATATTCAATGAAAATCCTTTCTTAGCACTCTCCATCCCCACAATATCCAGCAGTTGTTGTAAATCAGTTGCATTTTCAGCTATCCAAACTGTATCGTCTGCATAACAAAAAGTTTTTTTTTTATTGTATCCTCTGACTCTTACTCATGCATTCTCTTTAATTTCTCCTATTCAGCCACCACAAATATTGTTCTCTTGTAATTCACAGTCTACAGACATCGTGATCATCATAGTCTTCCTCATCATCATCATTGTCATCATCATCATTGTCATCAGTATATTACCATGACCATCATCTTTAGTATCATCATAATTCATCTATATGTCATAATTATCAGTATATTATTATCACAATAAATATTATTATAATCATCATCGTCACCACCAACAACACTAAGACCACCATCTGAATCAGCATCGGCATCATGAACATCATCGTCATCACTATCATCATCATAATCATCATTATAGGGGGCTGCATTGTCTCAAGGCATGGTGTCCGCCTAGACTGCTAGAGGTTCCGGGTTCGATCCCCTAAAAGGGCTGGGATTTTTTTCACGTGACTTAAACTTCTAGTTAATAACCCTGGTCTCTGTGTAGTGAGATCAGTGAGATCTCTGTTTACTTCAGTCATTCTTTCTGGGGGCGTTTTCAGTACAAATGTGGCGTTGTTGATGCCTTTACCTCCAACAAAACCACACTGCTATTCTTCAATGTCTTGTCTGAGACAACAATGACATTATAATGTTGCAGAAACTCACCTAAACACACCCGGGGCCGTAAATCAACTGTTTGAAGGATTTAAAAAGGAATACCTCCAACTGAGTCTTCCAAAGTTTAGGATCGAGTCTGACTTCAAGCTGAAAGTACCTCTTTATCAGATAGGCATAAGAACGGTTTTCACAGATAATGCTAACCTGCATGGAATTAGCAAAACTGGTAGGTAGCTCATTTACGTGACAAATTGACTGAAATGTGATTCCTTATTCCTTTATTGATATCATAATGATTATACTGTCTCCGCAAACACGCATACTGTATAAGACGCTTAACTGAGGACTTTCTTCAAAATCGGAGTTCATCTGCCTGAGCGGCAAGAGCAACTAACTGCACACAAATGAGCCAGTTGAAGGGATGTACATGACAAAACTCAACCCTGGCTCAAGGCTAAAGTCCGAAAAGACAAACAACTAGGACTTTCCACCGGAGCTTACAGTCGGTGAACTAAGAAAAAAAAAAGAAAAATATGAAGAAGAAGAGAAAGAAGAAGAAGAGAAAGGAGAAGAAGAGAAAGGAGAAGAAGAGAAGGAAGAAGAAGAGAAGGAAGAAGAAGAAGAGGAAAAAGGAAAAAAAAAGAGGAAAAAGAAGAGGAAGAAGAAGAAGAGGAGGAAGAAGAAGAAGAAGAAGAAGAAGAAGAAGAAGAAGAAGAAAAAGAAAAAGAAGAAGAAGGATAAGAAAAAAAAAATAATAATAAAATAATAATAATAATTATAATATTAATAATAATAATAATATTAATAATAATAATAATAATAATAATAATAATAATAAGAAGAAGAAGAAGAAGAAGAAGAAGAAGAAAAAGAAGAAAAAGAACAGGAAAAAGAAGAAGAAGAAGCAGAAGAAAAAAAAAATAAAAAGGAAGAAGAAAAGAGGCGAAGAAGAAAGAAGAAGAGAAAGAAGAAGAAGAAGATGAAGAATAAGAAGAAGAAGAAATAGAGAAGAAGAAGGAATAGAAGAAGAAGAAGAAGAAGAAGAAGAAGAAGAAGAAGAAGAAGAAGAAGAAGAAGAAGAAGAAGAAGAAGAAGAAGAAGAAGAAAGAAGAAGCCCTTTAGAAGAAGAAGAAGAAAAAGAAAAAGAAAAAGGAAGAAGAAGAAAGAAGAAAAGAAAGAAAAAGAAGTAGAAGAGAAGAAAAAGGGAGAAGAAGAAGAAGAAGAAGAAGAAGAGAAAGAAGAGAGGAAGAAGAAGAAGAGAGACTCTAAAGAAGAGGAAGAAGGAATAAGAGAAGAAGAAGAAGAAGAAGAAACAGAAGAAGAAGAAAGAAGAAGAAAAGAAGAAGAAGAAGAAGAAGAAAAGAAGAAGGAAGAAGAATAAGAAGAAGAAGAAGAAGAAAGAAGAAGAAGAAGAAGAAGAAGAAGAAGATAAGAATAAAGAAGAGGAAAAGAAGAAGAAGAAGAAGAAGAAGAAGAAAGAAAGAAGAAGAAGAAGAAGAAGAAGAAGAAGAAGAAGAAGAAGAATAATAAGAAGAAGACGAATCAGAAGAAGAAGAAGAAGAAGAAGAACAGAAAGAAGAAGAAGAATGAAGAAGGAAGAAGAAGAAGAAGAAGAAGAAGAAGAAGAAGAAGAAGAAGAAGAAGAAGAAGAAGAAGAAGAAGAAAAAGAAGAAAACATATTCAGGATAAGATCGAAGCACTCATTGTCATGTCCGATGTGCGATGAAGGTAATCTCAAAAATGAACAATAAACTTGCAGGAAGTCTTCAAAAGTTTTGAAACGTTTGAAGTTTGATGTAACCTTGCGCAACAGTGGGGCCTGGAAGTAATATGAAACGATCAGAAGCATCGGTCACCTTAAAAAGAGGGTCGCGGCAGAAGAAGAAGAGAGTTTTCCGTCTTTTCACTGCAGTTAAAAGAGGAACAAACGAACGAACGAACGAGCTTTATTTTCAAAGGGTCACAAATTGGGCACGCAAGCCCGTTTACATTCGGCCCTTCCAAACACTGCAGCTGTATTTTATCAATAAGCATGTTATATTTATATGATAATATGCATATTATGAATATAAAAAAAAAAAAAAAGAGAAGGAAAAAAAAAGCACAAAAGCATGGGTGGTAAAATGCATGCTCTCACACACACACACACACACACACACACACACACACACACATCCACCCACTCACTTAAACACACCCACATACCTTCACACGCACATAAACACACCCCATTCACCCACATACATACCTACATACCCAGTCACACATGCAGATACACACACAGACACACACATGCGACACACAAACACACAAACAAACCGGCATACTCACACGCAGACACAAACACACACAGATACACTCGGAGACACAAACACACACACACAATCGCAGACACACACACATGCGCTGATGCTGACGCAGACACACACACACACACACACACACACAACCACAGACACACACACGCAGAAGCATACGCAGGCATTCATACACACAGGCACACGCACAGATACACGCAGACACACACCTACAGACACACAAACGCAGACATATGCGCAGACATACATATACACAGGCACACACGCAGATACACATACACACACATGTTGACACATCCAGAGACACTACACACAAAGATACACAGAGACATGAATACTGCTAACACACATATACACACAGGCACATACCAACACTCACCCACCCACACACACACACACACACACACACATACGCATACACAAACACAACAAAGACACACACAGCCACATACACAAAGAACACACAGACACGCAAACACATTCACATGCACATGCAGTACACAGATACACATGTAGACACGTACACACAGTCATACACGCACACACACACACGCACGCACGCACAAACACACACATACACACAAACACACATACATAGATACACACCCACAGACACCAAATACTAACACACGCAGACACAAAGAGACACACAAACAAACACACACAGACACATGCAGGCAAACGCTCAGGCAGTCATGCACACGTAGATACACTTTGCATACATAGAATGTCAGACAAACCGACGTACTCAATTCTCATCCAATTGAAAACAAACTGCGTTCGTTACTTTGTGGGATGCAATATTGAAAGGATTTCGCATTTCAGGTGGGCTGTTCGTCAGTGAAATATTTCACAAAGCTGTTATTGAAGTCCAAGAGGCTGGAACTGTGGCCGGTGCGGCTACGGCCATTGAAATAAATTTACTCTCTGCCAAAATTCAATATCCAGAGTTCAAGGTGGACCATCCATTCATTTTCTTTCTCAGAGATAGACAGACAAACATCATTCTGTTTCAGGGCAAATTTTCCGGGTAA